CTTGAGGCACGCACAAAAGCTGCAAACGAAGAAATCTCCGCAGAAGATCTCCGCAAGATTGAGGATGAAAACGTCACGTACGTTGCCAACAAGCAGATAGAAAATGGGTTACGGTCCATAACCGACGGCGAGTTCCGCCGCGCCTACTTCCATCTCGACTTCCTCAAGCACCTCGCGGGCATTGAAGAAAAGGGCCAAGTGGGAAACATCAGGCACAAGGATGGTTTCTCGCCGCCAACACTCATCGTCAAGGGCAAGCTTGGTCATCCCGAGGCTATCCAGGTCAAGGACTTCCAGTTCCTTGAGCAAGCCATCGCCGACAATGGCGGAAAGGCAAGCACCAAAGTCTGCATCCCTTCTCCAACAATGGTGCACTTCCGCGGCGGACGCGCCTCCATCGACGTGTCCGCATACCCCGACCTAGACGTCTTCTTCGACGACCTCGCTCGCGTATACCAGGAGGAGCTCGACTCGCTCTACAAGGCCGGCTGCCGCTTCGTCCAGCTCGATGACACTAACCTGGCCTACCTCTGCGACCCCGACATGCGCAAGGCGGCGGAACAAGAACGCAACGAAGACCTCAGCACTCTGCCGCGAAAGTACGCCGAGCTGATCAACAAGGCCATTGAGAAGAGGCCAGCCGACATGAAGATTGGTATCCATCTCTGCCGCGGCAACTACCGCTCCAAGTGGTTCGCCTCAGGCGGCTACGAGCCCGTCGCCGAGGTCCTGTTCAAGGAACTCAACGTTGATGCTTACTTCCTCGAATACGACGACGCTCGCTCCGGCGACTTTTCGCCTCTTCGTCATCTCCCGGAGCACAAGGTCGTCGTGTTGGGTGTCATGTCGAGCAAGAAGAACACGTTGGACGACAAGGAGGAGATTATTAAGCGTCTTCATGAGGCGGCTAAGATTACGCCCAAGGGTCTCGATCAGCTGTGTGTGAGCCACCAGTGTGGTTTTAGCTCGACTGCTGAGGGCAATGAATTGACTGAGGAGGAGCAGTGGGCCAAGGTCAGGTTGAGCGTGGAAATCGCAAAGCAAGTTTGGGGCGAGGACATTAGCAAGTAAAGAGTGTATCGTCTTTGTGTATTTGGAGTCGGTGGGATGGTGTAAATACTAGTATTTGAACGGCTAATGCTGCCGATTGCTCGACGTGGGCGGATATGAGAGTGGCATGGGATCGGGGCATGAGAAAGGTGTTACGGAGAGAAAGAAGTTGACCAGGTCTCAACGACCGGTCCATTTATGTATTATGAAATCACGGTTCAACCCCAAGAATAGTATAAGAATATAGTAACATTCAATTAGTCAGCTACAATGGATGGGCTATCAAACAGCGTATAACTACTCGTCTCCCGACGAGATTATTAACATCTGTAAGTACGGTTGAAGGGGACTTGCGTCCGTCGACAAGACGGATGAATATTTGCCCCGAACCTCTTGTTGCGGATCTGCGTGTATTACCATGAATAAGACGGATGGATAGTTGCCCCGAGTCTCTTGTCACGGCCCTTTTCGGAACGACTAGGTTTGTATACAGCGACATGCCCAGAACTTTGTCCTTCAATCCCTTGTACCATGTTCACCATCCCACAGGTATCTCAATGGGATTCCTACATAACCTCGGCAAGGTCTCCATTGCCAAATTAGCAGTGCGAATTGTTAACCTTGAAGGCTCTTTCCCGCGGTGATCCAGGTTCAGTATGTTATATGCAGCATGCTTAGGTACAGCATCGGCTTGACAAATTTGTAGCCATGGACAGCTCACCCCGCATTTGGCAATTTGGCATCCGGGAATAATAGCGGAATGCTCTCCGCGCGATCTCCTCCCGGCAGTCACGTCCATACATAGCCATGGATATATAAGTTAGCGAAGCCCTACAAGATGGGTTGCGTAGTCCTGTGAGAACAGTTGGATTATTAAACACTCACGTTCAAGATGCACTTTTCAGCCATCCTAGGTACAGTTGCTGTAGCAGTGATATCGCGCCTCTTGTTCAAAACCTACTTTTCCCCCTTGCGAAACGTACCAGGACCGACGGCTGCGCGCTTTACAAATCTGTGGTATTTGTTCCGAGTAAATAAGGGGGACTTCCAATGGGAGAATATAGAATTACACCGGAGATACGGTAAGCCTATCTGCCTTGATCTTCACTCGCACCAAAACACCTCACACCACACACCAACACTACAGGCCCCATAGTGCGATACGGTCCAAACCGATACTCCCTGTCCTCGCCCTCTGCGCAGAAAATCATCTACGGCCACGGCGCCAAATTCCCAAAATCAGCCTGGTACGCCACATCCCAGAACCCTTCGCCGCAACAATGGAGTCTCTTCGCCGACCGCTCGATACAACGGCACGGCGAAAACAGACGGCAATACCAAAGCACCTACAGCATGTCATCGCTCGTGACGTACGAGCCGTACGTAGACGAGTGTACGGCGCTGTTCAGCCAGCGGCTGCGGGAAATAGCTAGCGCAGGCGCGTACGCCGCCGATATGGGGCATTGGCTGCAGTGCTACGCGTTCGATGTCATAGGTTTGATTACGTATGCGAAGAGATTGGGGTTTCTGGACAAGGGCGAGGATGTGCAAGGTGTGATTGCGGCGCTGGAGGATTTTCTGTGGTATGCGGCTTGTGTAGGCATCTTCTCGTGGTTGCATGAATATCTTTTTCCGGTGAGGAATTGGCTTGCGGGACCGCAGGGGACGGGGAGGGCGTATGTGGGGAGGTTTACGCAGGAGAGGATCAAGGAGCATGAGGTTGAACGGAAGAAAAAGGGGATGTTGCCGGGTGATGGTGACGCGGCGGAAGAAGAGAGCAGGACGAGCATATGTTTTTTGAGCAAGTTCTTTGCGAAGAATAAGGAGGATCCGGCGGGTTTTACCATGTATCATTTGGCGGCGGGGTGTGTGTCGAATATGGTGGCTGGGTCGGATACTACGGCTATCAGTTTGTCGGCCATTCTATACTACTTGCTCAAGAACCCGGGGACGTTTGACAAACTACGGCAAGAGGTCGATGAGAGGAAGCATGGCGGGTTTTTCACTTTAAAGGAGAGCCAGGAGATGCCGTATCTACAGGCGGTTATGAAGGAAGCACTGAGGTTACATCCGGCTGTTGGTCTGCCGCTCGAGCGCGTGGTTCCACCTGGCGGAGCAACGATATGTGAGCAGTATTTTCCAGAAGGAGTAAGTACTTTGTCTTGATACTGAAAACTGTACGACGGAGAACTGATAGGTTCTAGACTATTGTCGGAATCAACTCTTGGGTCGCGCATCGTGACACGTCAGTGTTTGGGCCGGACGCGCACCTATTCAAGCCAGAGCGCTGGCTCAGCTCCGACAAAGAGAGACTGAGTTTGATGGAGCGAAGCTGGATGCCGGTAAGTCAAGTTTCGTTTGTCCTCGGCCCTTACCCCATGTTTAGCACTGTCCATTTTGGACGCCACGCACTTTCCACCTCGTATCTGTCACATGCGCTTTCAGCCAGCCTCTCACACAAACTCCGTCTACCGTATCTTACGCGCTTTGTTGTCGCCTCAGTGGCTAACTTGGAATGTGCTCTCACCGCAGTTTGGCCTAGGCTCCAGAACCTGCATTGGGCGGCACATATCGCTTTTGGAAATGTCAAAGCTGGTTCCTGCGCTAATTCGCGATTTCGACTTTACCCTCGACAGCCAGTTGCAGGAGGGAGAGTGGAAGACGGTAGACTATTGGTTCGTAAAGCCAAAGGGCTTCAAGGTCAAGGTTGCGCTTCGGCAACCAGTAACAACTTGACGGGCCGACCGCGTAGTCGAGGTCCCGGTGCGGATCGGTTGGACTATACACAGACAAAGGAATCTGGCATCTCTTATGGCCCTGTCGTCTCGTGCAGTAGTTGCGTGGATTGTAACAGGGCAGGGCAATATGCAAGTATGAGTCCATGTAAGATAACAGCCCGCTTTTTGCCCATTGAGTAAGGATGCGAGAGAGAGAGAGAAATGCTGCATAAGCGACTATGTAAGCTGCAAGTTATTGGAAAGAAAAATCTCAGCCCGTGTCGGTCCTCCACTTGTAATCCTTCGAGAACGGTTCTGTAGGATTCCTTTGCAGGACGGGATTTCAAGGCGTCCTACCACCGGCGGTGTCCGCTCCAGGCCATGTCGCCGCCACGGCACGTTTGTTGCAGGCGCCGATGCCCATTTGCACCGCGCATGTGCATGCATAATCGGTGCAATTATCCGAGATGCGAAATATTGGCTCCTCCTCAGTTTCGTATCGAAGATGCCATTCACGGACGAGGAAGGAGGGGACATTGCTGATGCCATGTAGTATGCAGAGTCCAGTGTAGCATGTCTCACTAACTAACCCCCATGGTAATCTCCATGTCTTACTAGAATCCCAGTATGTATAACATTACGATGACCAGCGTATACCAAAAAAAAACAAGTAACCGCACCCACACCCATCACGTGGCCGCCTCGACGGCGCACCACTACCACCCTAGCGGACCCTGAAACTCGCAACTTTGGCATGCTGGCTATCACACATGGCGCGGACAGGCGGTAAACGCCACTAGAAAGCAAGGCCTTATTCCCACGCACCCACCCCAAGGGAAAAAAAGTGCCGAAAGACAAAAAGGAAAAAAAAACACACCGACCGACAGCTGAAAGCACGGGGGGGGGGCAAGGCTAGAAGGCTACTATCTAACCTAGATATCGCTGAAACGGCGGGAAAAGACGCCCCAAAAACAGTTTACGCACCTCCGCTTAGGCATGCACATGCAGACACAGGACGAAAAAAACGGGGCGGGTCCTCCTTTTTTGCTTCTGGCTTCTGGCTTCTGGCTTCTATCTTTCGGAAGCAGCTTTCCCACTTTACGGTCGCAGTCGCAGCGAGGTTGCCAAGGCACATTCTATTTACATACCAGATACGCGGAAGACGCTCCGGCCCCCAAGTCCTTCGTTTGGTCGGCTCCACTCACTCGCGATAGTTACCACCCACCCTTTACTTAGCATAGTAACTTGCCTCACCCAACCCCCTGCGTTTGCGTGCGAGCGAGCGAGCAAGAAAAACAGGTGTTGCGCGCGCCTACTTGCAAGCGGCGGCGGCTCGTGTGTTTTTTTCCTTGTCGTGGGAGCAGAGAAGAGTCAGTCCCACTGCCCACGCTACTTGGTACGATTCAACCTCTAATCGGCGCCAGAGGATACCAGATACAGGTCAGTGCAATCACGTTAAGATTTTTAGGCGAGATACGTATTCAACAGAAAAGGTTATCTTTGATCTTTTTTGCGAAGATGCTTAGT